TTTTGCGGGGCATTTCTCACATTGGCTAGTTTTAGCACTGTCTCTTTAAATCCTTCTTTTTCACATTTAAATCCTTCAGTTGGGCTCTGTATAAAGTGGAACTAAAATGCTTTGGTCTGAATTCCTCTTTATACTAACTCCACAAGCCCCGCCCCTTTTCTGGGGTGTGTCTCAGGTCAACTCATTTTTGTGCCGTCTCTTTAAATTCAAATTAGGCTATTCGTGCCCCGCCTCCCTCCACCCCTTACGGCCATTTTTGTAGTTTGGTAGCAGAGCTAAATTAYAAATTACTGTTGGAGCCAGAGGACATCAGACCTGCAGAAACACGGATTTGCAGAATTCTTTAGCTGGAAGTCCTGTGACCTTATTGTTCAATAACAGAGAAAACTGAATGAGATAAAAAAATATATAACTTATACAGAATAGAAAGATATCTACACAGCACCAGAAGAGACTAAGTTCTAATTTTCTGCACTTTTACAGACTCCAAATACACAACAAAATGTATTTAAGGGATAAAAAAGTGGATTTTGCATAATATGTCTCTTTAAAAAGCCCCTGCTTGCCTCCTGCAGCCAGCAAGGTGTTGTACAGGTGGCTCCGCCCCTTCCTGTAGATTCTGTCCTGTCCTCCTCAGCAAATAGCTCTAAGGAATTCCTCAAAATCTTATAATATTGTGAATAMATTGGAAGTAGGAAAAAATTCTCAGAAAACCATTTGATTCTCTTCTAAAAATGTTAATTCAACAGTCTGAGTCCACCACAGCTCACAGTCAGCCAGCAGCAGCTCTGTGAGTGGAGGGGCCTTGGTTCTTATCAGAACAATAACAATAACAACCCCCTCTAGCAGCCAGCATCTGTCCCTGGCTGATCCAAGAGGAAGAGTAATGATGAATCGCTCGTTAAGTCACATGAAACCACAACTTCCTGGTCACACCCCTGGAGGCGGTACCTTTTATGTCAGACCTTAGAGTTGTAGGGCCTCCTATTGATAAGACACACTGACTCTGTTCAAAGCATATAGCTGCACAAAGTGTGAAATACAAAACTACCTTAAATTCAGTTCACAAAATTTCCTTCAGTTGCATAAAATCCTGGATATAACCCCAACAAAGAGTGGAGGGCGACTAGGGCTGCCACGATTAGTCGACGACTAATCGATTATTAAAATAATCGATGGCTAATTTAATAATCGATTAATCGTTTTCWTTTTTTTTTGTTCTTTACTTTGTTTTTCTCTCCAAACTGCTTTGACACCTTCCACTGCCACGTCTGCCTTTCTGTCCTTGACACACATGCACAGTAGTGGTAACTGGGGTAGGCCGTGGACGTCACAAGACATTATACAGACAGGCTCTGGTATCATGGCTACCTGACAACAGAGCTCAAAGTGTGGGATCATTTGAAGAAAATGAAAGAGAAACCTGTGTAATATCTGCAGAGCAGAACTTACCTTCCACAGCTATTATTTTTAGTTAGCATATAGCTAAAATCTAACCATGGTTATATAATAGCAGCTGYATTCTGACGTGATAAGCTCTATGTTTTATATTCAATAAACGTATGATCTGATTAGTCGACTAATCGAAAAAATAATCGGTGATTAATCGATTATAAAAATAATAGTTTGTGGCAGCCCTAAGGGCGACATGCATTCCTTTAAGGAATGCATCATATTCAGTTTGTTTTAACTTCCAGTTTTTCAATATTGAGTCATTTCTAAGCTGTAAGTGTGTCTGCGTCTGTCACTCTTATCATTACACGTCTAATTTTAAGAATCTGGGAGGGAGAAAAAAAAAACGTCACAGCTGTCAAATCACACTGAGCGATCAAATCTGTTTTAAYGTTAAAACACGGAGGAAAAAAGAGAAGCTGCACTAATTAAACATGATGCTGATGCTTGAGTTTCCCTGCATATTTCTCTGAAGTCTGGTGGCGTTTTAATTGGCATTCACTGTGGAGTGTCACTTCATCCCATCATGGAAACATGTAACTAAGACTCTACAGCTTGGACTGAAGGTTTTTTTTTTTTAATTTTCTGTTTATTTTTCTCTCATTAAACACAATGAGGAGCTGAGGCAACATGACTGATGTTAATGGTTTTATTTTTAGTCCTGTTTAAACTTCATGCAGTCACTTTGTCTTTGTAATTATACAGTTTTGGTTTTTATCTTTAACAAACACTGAAATCCATCTCAAACTCTTCTCAATTTATTCTAGAGCTCCAAAAATCCACTTTAAAATATTACTTATTAAAACAAAATGGAAAAGTCTGACCCAAATTTCATTACGATTTAAGGAGTTAAATTTGGACAATAAAGTTTGTTCAAAAGTTTTTATTTAAGCAGGAAGAAAATCTTTGAAACGGGTAAAAAAAAAAAAAGGTTAAAAACTACTTTTCAGATTCTAGTTTTTTTTTTAATTAATTTTTTCTGTTTCAAACTTCTGGCTCCAATTTGGCATGGGGGCGGGGCCTTAGATGACCAGGAGGTGTGGTTTGTGTTTTTTGTCAGTATCATATTTTTCCCACTAAGATTGGTGTTGTGTGTTGACAGAAGCAGCTTATATTAATGAAACATGACATAATATTGATATTTTAAAAATATTTTCGGTTCCACGGTTCCTGAATTTGTCCATCCTGTGTTGAGCTATCAGTCATGAGGCCACACCCACTGTCATCTGAGACCCCGCCCCCCCATGCCAAAACAGGACCCGAAGTTTGAAACTGAAAAACAAATTCAAGTACTGATGGGAGTAAAAAAAAGCTGCACCTTTTACATTTATTTTGTTTTGTTGCATTGAATCATAAATGCAAAAATTTACAGTTGATTTAAAATCTATTTTTATATTAAATAAAAAAAATATATATATATTTT